AAATAACTAATCAAGCAAAAATTGAAAGTGTTTCTTTTGAGCTCTGTAACTTAAAATATTCTGACTTCTTTTCCAAACCAAGCTTGCAGGAACATATTTTAACTGTGGACTCTTATTTTGCACAATATGATTTTCATAATGGCCATGAATTTTAAGTCTCTCCACTGCATATGTCTAGTAACGCTCTTACATACAGTTCAGTCAAGGTTTTTACAGCTATCATCAAAATTATACATGCATTACCACGTCTATTTAGCGTAATTGCATAATTGCTTGTGATTGCACCAATTACCTGAAGAGGCACTACATGACTAAAAGTTAAAAGTAAGAAAAAGTGCTAGAAATCAAGATTGTTACCCTATATACTTGGTCAGCAAGTAATTCTTGTAATGAGAGATATAGACACAGAACAATGTTAAAGAAGTTCTTGTTATAATGTTAGGCCACTGATTATTTGTACACTTAAATTTGTTCTTACACTCCCCAAGAATTATTATATGATTCAGACACATTCAGAGATGCACAAGTATTGAAGTCCTCACAAGCTATATTGATCATATATAGACATATAGCACTGTTATAGACATATAACAGTGGCCTACTGTTATACAGACAGTATAGACATATAGCACTGATAAACTACTTTTCAGTCACAAATTCACTCTCATTCTACTGATGATCTTTTTATGTACTGAATTTGCCTGTAATTCATAGCTATTTTCATATTTTGAAAAGTCACGCGCTTACTCACATAAACAGAAATCCAGGGAGGTATTTTGAGCCAAACAGAGGTTAAGATATTGACTGTCCAATGCAGACTGTGGAGAAGAAACAAACAGGAAATTGAGTTGTCGAAGATATTACAAATCCAACTCAGGTAGTCCATGCAGTAGCCCAAATCCAAAATGGATGGGAACCGAAAAATAAGCTATCTTTGATTTTAGGTCTAGCTTAGCAAAAAAATTCATGACAAAGCTCAAAAATAAAATAGATTTAACTTATCTCATCTCCATATATTTCACATATGTACTAACAATGACCACTACCAGCAATTAATCCCGCAATCTTCATGAACCCAGAATTTCCTTTTGATTTCTTTAAGCTCATAACTCATTTCTTTTACCTTTTTTTATAAGTACTTCTCATTTCTTTATTCACTATCCTAGATCCCTTTACAGTTTTTTTGTTCGTAGACAACAGGACACCCAAATCTATGATTCCCAGTGCGTGAGGTGCATGATGAGGGTGGGCGTTTGATGCCTCAGATTACAAGGTGGCTGCACTCTTATATGCTGGATCTCATATTCTCACAAATTATGGGAAAAAGGCTGCAGAGCTGGACTGCAGCATAAGGGATGCTGCTTTGCAGAAGGCTTCAAGCATGGAGCCTCACGAGGTAGCATGTATGTGGTCATAGCACTGCCCCACGGCATCTATCAGCAGCTCTCTTGTACCATTACTCACGTGCTGCATGAAGCACTGTGAAAGCTCCCGATGAGGTGGCAGGAGTGTAGGAAAAGGGATCTTTGTATGGGTTTTGTGAAAAATGCCTAAAATGTCCCAGTTCTGCCCTGAAACAATGGTTTCCAGTTTTTCAAAGACTTTCTGCCGTCTAGCCAAAAAAAAGGGAAAACAGAGGCAACACCTTAAATCCATTTAGTGCTACCTTCTGAAACACCATAAAATTGGTTAAAAAGACAAAATGAGTAGTAGTTACAAAATTCAGTTGTGACGTTTCAGGACTTCTGTGCCCAGTTCTTAGAAGCTATAACAAACTTGAGGTTATTCTTCTCTTCCTGAGGACCAGAACTCACTAACAGGCAAACCAAGAGTGAAGAAAGCTTGAGGCACAGGATTCTTGAAAAAGTGAAAGAGCTCTAATCATTTCGCTCACAAGTTAATAAATTTAGGAAAGCTTCATGTTACTTACTTCTCCTTTCTTTTCTTCTCTTTGCCACTTTATGGAATTGTTATTAAAGTACAAGGAATGATTCCAAAATTCTACAGAAAGGTTTTTGGTTTTGATGTTGTTCCAGATCAATGTAGATAACCTGTGCTAATTAACCCATTAATGGAGGCAGTAAATGAGGGTCCCACACCTCAAAGCTATTGCAGGGTTATAGCAAATCCGTTATAGATGGACCTAGAATTCTTCATTATACTTAATACTTTATGGACTACTTCAAAGCCATACAGTACTGACTACCATCTGTTACAGTTAACATGCGTATTAGCATTTGAAGACTTTCAGGAATTTATCTGGACAGTACTTGGAAGGATTTTATTTTGCATAAGAACTTGAGCTTCCTGAGCCACTTTTCCAGAAAAGTGAAGTAGGAAAAATGGTGTGGACTTGCATCACAATCAATCACACCCCCAGTAGGTCTGAAACTTAATGTCAAAGAACCTCGGGAAGTTATCTATCTTTAAGTCTCTGTGTGTCACAGTCAAACTCAAAGTTCCTGCTTACAGGCTTCAGCCCTTTCTAGTGGCTTAATTTTGGGCACAGTTTAAGTGGACTGGCCGCAGTTTCACAAGACTTCTGTGAAATGGCAGAAGTCCATTCTCCTTTCTTTCCATAGCACATTCTCTGGCAATATTGCCAGCAAAAGATGTAATGACGGCTTTAGTATGTGCACATCTTCCATGAACTGGGCAAAAGAGAAGGTACAACCTGTGCCTGCTTATTCCCACTGGTTGCAATTCTGTGCCTAAGGCAAGTGTTGGCCCACAGGGCAATTTTTAAATAGTGTCACAGTTATGGGCTCTTTTCCTTCAGTTGTCCTTGTCACTGTCACTTCATCTACCTAAATGCAGATGCCTACATCTGACCTTGCTATTTAAATGCCTTTATAGGACAATGGAGAGAGATAGACATTTCTGCCTTTCCCTCTCATCCCAGAGTAGACATCTGAAATAGGTCAGATGAATCATGTCTTCGAATAAGAACTTGCCTTCTTGTTGGCACCCATTGACTCTAAAGGGCACCTCGGGACTAGCTCAGACATAAATGCTCACAATACAGGTTTCCAAAATCTGATTAAATGAATCCCCTCTGCAGATTTGTACGCCGCTGAAACAAGTATTCTCAAGCTTATATATTGTACTCCTGCAAACAGGCTTCCCTCCACTTGCTTAGAGCATGGGAGCTTCATTGTCCATCTTGTCCAATAACCTGACTTTCTCAGGTTATTAGAAATTGTAGCCTTGGCTCCTGAGGGCTGAAGAAGAGGCTGTACAGGATCATCCTTATCCAGCCTGCAGAGTGAATTGTTTCATCCTCAGGGGAATGAGATGTCCTGAATTTATTCTATTGCCCCAAGACTGTCCAGTAAAAACAAAATATAGATCTAGTGCTTGAAATCCAGTGCAATAATAACTCTAGGTTCTTAATTTCTATATTGAACACTACTGAACATTTACCAAAAAATACCAAAATCCATTTTCCACACTCTTCACATGTAATGTTCCCTTGCCCTGAAAAGCTCTCTGTTCTCTTTCTTTTATTAAATATGATGTTTTCTCTTTAGCTGCTTCAGTACCATAGTTAGTTCAGAGCTGACCCTTTCTGTTCTCATTCTCTCATAACATCTCCAGCACATTTTTATTTTCTTCTTTTGTCTTAATAACAATATTCTTTTTACTTGAAAGACTTTCTTACACATTTCTCACAGCTGTCAATAATAAATCACAAAAAATATCCTTATACAGATTGGATTCACCAAAATTTTGATGCCTACTTGTGAGATGCATATTTGAGCTGCCACTGTATTCACTAGAAGTCTTGTCAATACAATTAGAGGTGCCTAAAGAGTGACTGAGCTAACCAGCTAACCAGTCAGCTAACTAGTCGGTCTACTTCAGGGTGACCTGCATCGCTCCCCAAGTAAATCCTACCCATAATGCCCAACAAGGCACCAGGCAACACCCTTCCCCTGCCTGTGCAGAATTTGGTTTGGTGGGAGCCAGCCAGAATAACGGAGCAAGGATTCACATGCATGCGAGGAGATGAAATGAAGACAACGCCGTCTATTTTGTAAAAATCCTGGTACCCGTTCTGGCACCCTTTCTTCTATAGTATCTAAATTATTTTGCTAAGCAAAATCCCAAGTGTAGATCTTCTCAGAGATAAACACTAAACCAAGTAAAAATAAAATCATAGTTTTAAACTTTGTTCAGTCTAAGACATATTTAGAACCTGCCAGAGTCCTTATGTGGTACCAAGTGTGCGGCAATGACCCAGAAAGAGAAATGCACATACATTTTTCATGAGGTATGATGCACTGAGGCTGTAAGTTTGAACACAACTTCTGTTCCATATACTACCACTTTTTTCTTGTGACAAACTTCTTTGCTTTAGTTCCCTCAGTGCCTTGGGGAGGAAACAACACTCCCCTGGCTGACAGGAGTGAAGTGAGGATAAGCACATAAAATATGATGACATTGCTGTGCAGGGGACATTCCTGTTCAGGGGAAGGACAAGGGTCAGAAAACATCTTATGCTTACATATCAGGCTCTGAATAAACTGGAACGTGGGGTTTATGCACAGAAGAAGGATGATCAGCCAAAAAGGAATTAATCCAACAATGAGCATTGTTTGGCTTAGCCTTTGTATTTGCCCTGCATATTAAGGCTTTAACCATTGGGCAAACAAAATAATTGCTTCTTAAATTTCTGCAATATTCTTGTAAACAGCCTTACTATTAAATTGATAAATGAAACCTTAGTGCCATTGCTACAGCTATTCTGTATCATTGAAAAAAAGCCCCATTTCAGCACAGGGAAACTAAATATGTGGCAGGGGAGGGAGGGGAAGGAAACAAAAGAGGTCTTTAGACCTCACAGCTGTTAGGGACTTTGGAATGGTTCAGGTGAGAGCATTGCCAGAAAGAGATGTCGAACCTGTTCTGCCTCTATATGAAGCATTTTATCAAGCTTTAATATTTGAATTGTTGCTTGTCAACTTCAATCTCTCTTCTTCTCTTTCTTCTCTTATCAGGAGGCCAAGAAGACTGCATCTTTTCTTATGAACCTGTCACAAGACAGGAAAGTAAGTTTCATCTGCTTTTCTACCACTCTTGCTTCAATTTTTCATTTCATGTTTGATGGGCCAGAAGAGATGTAAGCGTTGCGCTGGCCCCAGATTCTCCATGGCTCCTTTTTCCTGGCTGCTTTGGCTATTGCTGAATGATGAGAAATGTATGTGAGGGTCTCCTACTAATAAATATATTAATTAGTCTGCAAAATATCGACGCATATTTTTTAGATTTACTGCATCATTGTTACATGGGAGGCATTTATTATTTTCATTCTCATAAGATATATGCCTCAGTCAGAATAGGTCATTGCTACAGCAATGCAAACTGAAAATGATCTCTGTTATGGTAGTACAACCCACTGATTTCATTGCAGATGCATTCATATAACTGAGAAGAAAAAAAATAGATCCTGTCTCCTTTCCGTGCCTCATGACAAAGTCCATCAGTGAGCATTTAGGAGTCACTTTGTTGAGCAATAGCAAATATATATACTACCAAATAGTCCTTTGTCTACAAGTGCATACGCTATCAGAGGGCTCTGAACTTTGCATAATAAGCAGTCTCAGTTCCAATTTCTGTATCCATGGCAATAAAAAAATTACTCTTCAATAAAACATACATCTGAGATTTCCTTTCGTACATATAGCTAAGAACTCAGGTTAGTGCATCTTTGGGAATATTTACTGTTATTTCCACTAACGCCATCAAAATATGCCTTTCTTTCTGTTGTTCAGTTAATTACACCAGGCCGGTTATCATTCTGGGTCCTATGAAAGATCGGATCAACGATGATTTGATATCTGAATTTCCTGATAAGTTTGGGTCATGTGTACCACGTAAGTGCTGTTTCATCCTCCGTTCTGCAGCCGAGTTAAATCCCTTGGTGACACACATAAAGTGAATTGCTATGAGAGCAGTGTCCATGTACATTATGTAGCTGTATTTCTCAAAAGCCATTTTTAGACCTGGATAGAAAAAGATAGCGGCCCAGCTGCACCTCTGAGGTAATGTTCTGCAGAGCTGTGTGAAAAAACGGAGTTTCAGTCCCACTGGAAATGCCACTCTTCTGAAACAAGAATAGTATTCCAAATCAGGATACTGAGTCAGGAAAGCAGACTTCCACATTGGACAGAAATGTGGAAAACAACAAACAAAAAAAAGGTGGTGAAGCTCTGGAAAGAATTTGAGTACATTTCTAAGCCTTCTTCAGCCATCCAGGACCCCAGCACCAGTCTCTGCAAGAAAAGCAGGTGACAGCCACCAGCTGACTGTCTAGGGGAGAGATGGAGTTGGTTACGCTACTGCTCCAGGGTGTCCATGCTCACCTAGGAGCCCCCTTTGCTGTCAAAAGCTCAAAGGTCTTTCTTTCGTGGCACCTACCCCAGATCCAGGAATGCTGAACTGTTAGCGCCGGGATGTCTCAACTCATGAGCAATGCTCTCATATCTAACATAGCCTGGTGTTATCTTTCCTATTTAAATATCTTAAAAGCTCTAGCATTCTGCTAAACAGGGGACCTTCTAATTACAAATTCAGTTTACAAATCACTTACTCTGTAGTTTTTTAAATGAGATAAAAGTCTGAAAGACTGATAAATGTTTCAGTTTATTAACACAGTATCCACTAATACAAATATGGAATAATTTATGATTAGTGTGGAATTTAGACTATCTAATCTGAAGGTAATATTGGACCCTGGATTTAGCTGAGCATTTATTGTTTGGCTCATTAAAGCTTGTTCAGTGTGTATTGTGGCCTCTGATTGCAATCTCACTTCATTTTAAATTGATACCTGTGCAACTACAGCAGCTTAAAACTGCTAGAGATGAGATCAGAATCAACCTTATAATTAAGGCTGAATTAAATTGATGGTATTACCATTCATTTGCATCACTGTAATGGAGAATAGGATTAGATTCACACTGGAGAGTGTATTTTGTATCTGAGGTTTGTGTATGTTCCTCCTGAAAGTGTCCCTCCACTCCCAGATGTGAAACACCTCCACATACAGCAGACCCAGCGTTATCTGCTGAGCAAACCTTAATCGCTGCATTTTGCATGAAACGCTTTTACAGACCTCTTGATTTTCTATCTTTTGTTTCATGCAGATACCACACGACCAAAGCGTGACTATGAAGTGGATGGGCGAGATTATCATTTTGTCATTTCAAGAGAACAAATGGAAAAGGATATCCAAGAGCACAAATTTATAGAAGCCGGGCAGTACAATGATAATTTATATGGAACTAGTGTCCAGTCTGTGAGATTTGTGGCGGAAAGGGTAGGTTGACACCGCTTTTATTGCCCATGCAAAGCGATCTGTTTTGTTGCCCCATCATATCTCAGACATGATGTTTCTGCCAACATATAAAATACCTGCAAAATTGTAATCGGGTTTTTCTAGCCTTACAATGCCTCCACAATTAGAGACTCTGACTTTGAATGACAGCATTGTTGGCACTTTCTGCTCCCAGATGTAGTGCCATGGGTTCATGAATGTAGCCATAGCACCTCCAGTGTGCCCCAAAACAGCCTTCCTTCTTTGGCGTCATTTCAGAGGAGTTCAGGGGCACTCGGTGATGCCCAGCGTGCTGCTCTGATTTGAGCATCTGGCTCAGGGTTTTGGGCTTAGCTCCCAGCCCAGCTCTGATGTAGGTTCCTTCTGTAGCTTAGACCAAGATATTTAACCTCTGTGTTTCTCAGCTTCTCTCTCTGTAGAATGAGGCTAACAACAAACTTACACCATGGACATAGTGTCTAGATTATTTTTTGAGATAGCTTTTGTAAAGCTGTCTTAGGACAGTATTGGGACAGCACTTAGGAACTGCTTTTTGAACATTAATAATTGCAGAATTGCAGACACCTCTATAAGATAGATAAGTGAACTTATCTCACTTTCACAGAGGCAAAAAAGTGAAGCATGAAGAGATTAGATGACATGCCTCAGGTGACACAAGAAGTCTTTGGCACAAACAAGAATTGAATTAACCAGTAAGAAAGTAGACATCCTATTATTTTTATGAACCAGTTTTCCTCATATTTGAAGAACAGTCCCCCCACAAAGTTCATCACAGTTAAACCTCTAGAATAAAAAATAGCCTGCTCCTATGCTTCCAGTATATTCTTTAATATGAGCAGCAAAGCAAAAGAAATACTACAGAGAAGCAGAGCGTGTGCCCCAGGGCCCCCCTTCCCTGGTGTGTCAGTAATGGCTCTGCTTCAGGGCCCTGCGTCGCAGAATTACTTCCCTTCTTTCAGTTGAACTGCAGCCAGCACTGCAAAAATAAACATGTCCTCATCTCTTTCCAACAGGGCAAGCACTGTATACTCGATGTGTCAGGAAATGCTATTAAACGATTGCAAGTTGCACAACTGTATCCCATCGCTATCTTCATTAAGCCTAAATCCTGGGAGCCTCTGATGTGAGTATAAAAACCTTCAAGCATTTTTCTTTCAGTCTCAAATGGCACAACACAGGTCTCCCGTTGACATTTTACCTCTTCTCTAAAATCAACAGTAAGAGGAGGTAGAAATAGCGAAGACTTAACTCTCCGTGTATGCCCTCGGCTGTGCCTTGCATGGTCAGATTTACCCTGGAGCCCGGAGGAACCAGCCAAAGCTGCTTTTGAACCTTTCATGTTCGGATCATGCAGTCTTATGTGATGGACTCTGAAAGGATAACCCACCAGTGCTCGGTGTTTTTCCAAAAATGGACAGCAAGATTAGCAAGGCCTGTGCAGCCTCAAATGGCATGGCTTGTCCCATCCATCCTTGGGTGCTCATAGGGTGCAGCATGTGGTCACAGTGTACACGCAGCGGTGCATGCAGAGTAAACCTGTGTCAGACTTTCTGTATTAGGTCAGCTCTTCATTTACTTCAAGGTTCATAAGAGGTGAGGACCTAATGGACTGGAGAGGGGGAAAAATAACACTTAAAAGAAGAAAAGGGAAGGCACCAATGTCACGCTGTGGCCAGGGACCTAATTGCAATACTCAGAAAAAATCCTGGGAGCCAACAAGCAGTTAAGCAACTAAGGCATAAGAACCTAGAAGATAAAAAGGTTATGAGAGGCAGACGGTATATTTCAAGAGCAAACCAAATCAATCTCTCTTCCTTCTTTCATGAGGTATTTATCAATAATTGTGATGTATCTTTGTTTTTATTCTGACTTTTAACACATCTCCATATGACATTCTCAGTGGCAGATTAGAGAAATATGATCCAGATGACTGAATTATTAGAGCGCACGTGCACAGCCGTTCTCAGACAGTCATTGAGAATGGCACTGCTAAACTGAGAGGAAAACAGAAGTCCTGCAAGCGCATTTCTTAGGCTGTGGCACTATTTGGCACTGCTTGCTGTTTTCATGAAGCACTTGAATGTTGAATTGGATTGTACTTTTATAAAGTTTGTGAATAGCACAAGGTTGAGAGAGGTTGCAAGCACTTTGGAGGCTAAGGTTAAAATTCAAAGCAAAATCAGTAAGATGAAATTCAGCACAGACAGAGGAGAGAAAATGAAATGCATGTCTACAAGCAGGGAATAATGAAGCTATAGCACGGCAGAAAAGCATCTGGCACTTGGAGTGGATCACACAGGACTATGAATGGAGGGATAATGCTGTTGCAAAAAAGACTACTGTCAGTCTGGGTTCTGTTAACATCAGTGCTGTGTAGGGGCACAAAACACAATTCTGTTTTCTGTTGTTTTACTTGGTGTGGATGAGGCCTCAGCTAGAGCTCTGTGCCTGCTTCTGGGTACCACCCTGGAAATGGCGAAGGAATGGGAGTTGCCTCATCTAGAGGAGAGAAAGCAGAGCACGATATACAGTAATGATCTTCAGAATGGTTCAAGTTCCGCATAAAATTTGTTGTGATCAATTGTTTTCCATGTGCACCTAGGATAATGCAAGAAGTTATCAATTTAATTTGCTGTGACAGGGATGAAATTTGGTACTCTGTGCTTTTCTCTCACCAAAGACTCTGCAGACACCGAATGATACCATATGTACCCAGCAAAAAATTAAATGTAGGCATCCCTCCTCCTATGACAGATGCGTACCTGGTTATGTTGAAGGCCTACCCACAAATATTGGATCACAGAGCTGGAGACTGTTAACATGCCCCATCCCATGACTGAACAGGGTCCTTTCTAGCCCTGACTTCCGGGGAGGAGGCTGTTGAATGCCCAGGCATATTACAGGGAATCACACAGCATATAGTACATAAAACAGCCCCAGCCTGACTAAAGATAGGGTATCCTGCTTTGGATGACTTTTTGACATTTCTTTCAGCCCCTCCAGTTCAGTTACATTCTAATTATTTTGCAGTTTAGAATGGACAGGGTTGTCTAATATCCTAGCTTCTGCATTAATTCATCATTTGTTTTAAAAGAAGTTTTAACCTACAGTTTTCCTGTCCTCCATTATTGCATCTAGCATGATAAAAAAGGAAGTAAATAAATGTGGTCTTTACACTGAAAATACATGCATATTAGGAACAACTGCAAAGGTAGAAATAAAATAAAGGCTTAGTTGATTTGAAGCAAGCATACCAAATCTTTGAGCAGTTTGACTGAAAAGTGTTAAGTAGATGCAAAACATTAGGGCAGTCATCCTCCTATTAAACCAAAGTAATGCTAATATTCCACTTAAATCTAAACAAATTATGCAGAGTTAGTAGAATTTTCCTTGGTGATATATATCAAAAATAACTAGGCTATTCTTCACTCTCCAAATGAAAACCTGCATAAGTATTGATAGTACAGTAGGGACAAAGAGAGTGAAACTTGTTAGATGACCTTTGAATTGTTTATTCTAGGAATGTTCCGCGGAAGACACTCTTAATTAGACTTAATTAAACTCTAAACTTCCGTGGGACAGCAAAGATCCTTGTAGATCAGCACTGTTCTTGCAGTGATATGGTTTATATAAACAAATTGTGCAAACACAGTACAGCTACTCCTGGAAAAAAATGAGAAAAAGTAATAGATTTTAAATTACTTTCTCCCCTACAGCTTGCTATCCACAAGTAATCTTTTTATCTGCTTAATGTGCCTCATGTGCATTTATCTTACCAAGCAGCACCCAAAATTAGTTTCTAATAGAAATAAAAACTCTTTTAATATAACTAGTATCATTCTCTTTTAAGAATTGCCTTGAGAATAACGACATAATTCTGAGCCTTTTGCTCATGAAAATCATTTATTTTATTTGGTAATGTAGTTAAATCAGTCAGGATGTGGCTAAGCAAATATGCGCTCTGCTGCGAACTGTAGAGTAGATTTGCAGCATGTGGGCTACTTCACATTCGCGGGCTGTGCACACGTTCCTGCCCCCTAGCAGATGCAGGGCAGATGATTGCCACAGTTTCATGGAGGGTCAAGCTGTCTCATTTGTACCTTGGGCAGTTTCCACAGATGAGTTGATGCACTGTAAATCCACATGCTTATTTTTCTCATGGAAATGTTTGTGCAGTCCTTTCTCCTTGTTAAGGGTTTTAACAGCATAGTCTGAGGGAGTGCATAGATGAATGGATATAACCTCTTCCCAGTGGACACTGTTATTCTGCTGTGAGGAAGTTTCATGTAGCGTACTGATGCCCTGTGGGAAGAGAAAAAGGACACTTCTATGCCGGTATAACTGTGTTCACTCATTTTTTTGGATGCGACTGCCACAACACAAAAATTCCAATTCCTAAATGAGAAGGGGATATACTGGTACAAAATCTGTTTGTAACCCTAGATTTATCTGCTGAAACTCTTATTCCTGCTCATGCAAACAAGTTAATGTAATAGGAAAGCAAAGCTGTATCAGAAAAAAAAAAAAAAGAATTGGAATGACCAGTTCATCATCCCACCCTTCCTCCCCCACCTCTAAATGACTCCAGCTCACAGGTTTAATCTCAGAGGGGTCCTTGCTGGCACCTCTTGATCAGCATCTCTTTAAAGGGAGGGGCATGGTGGGATCACAGCGATGATAGCTGGAAGTAGGGAAGAGGCCACCTGGTTGAGCTCTTTACTGGAAGATGAGAAAAACCCTGGGAGAGGTACCTGGAGGGGCAGCTCTTTGCAAGCATTTTTAATTCACTGGCTGGGCAGGTCCCTGGCTGGAAGAGAAAAATTTAGAAGGGACCATTACTTGATAGCACTTTTAATTCATCATGACAAATGGACAGTCCTCCCCCCTCTCCATCCTCTTTCCTGAAGGCACAGGATTGGCAGAGGCACGAGTGCAACTAGCATGATTTTACACCAAAGGCAAATCTACATTCTCCAAATGTAATTTAAATTTCTGCTTGTTTCAAAGTATTTGTTATCTTAAATACTTTTTTATATTTATATAGATATAATCTCCTTTGATTTTCAAAGATCTTCAGGAAGACTTCTCACCAGAAGGTGAGGAAGACTTTCTTACCAGAAATAGATTGGGAAGGAGGAGGATGTTGTTAGCACTGGAATATTGGCTGAGTCTCCTTAATATGTGATAATGTCTTAAGTTTGCATACAAATTTGCAGTGCTTGATCCCACTCCAAGACGGAGCTTGGGTTCAATGACTTAAAGACGTGTCCAAGTAGGCATTGCTGATGAGAAGCCTGCCTGAACTCAATTAGATAGCAATCCTTCCAATAAACAGAATTAGAAGCATTAGAAATTTAGCAGCACATCACAGATTTGCATACATTAATCCAAAACCTGTGAATATAATCCATAGATGATTGTCATAAATTTTCAAATAAATCTTTCCTATCTTGCATTCTGTAAATCTATTTTCTGATTGCACTGGCATTGGACTTGGTACTTCCAGAGAGATTTTTTAAAGCAATACTCGCAGTTATATGATTAGTTATACAGACAGATAACCTTAGGGTCATTTCTATAAATACATTTTTGCATTTTGACAACTTACATGGCATTTTTCAGAAACTAGGTAGGAGTTAGCTGTAGCAAGTTCATACTGCTGTGCATTTTATAAATCATTTTTTATGCATCGTCATGCACATAATTTCCTGCATGCATCACACATGTCATACTGTATACAATCCATTACCAGATAATCATATGATTTAGTGTAAGGCATTAAATCCGGTTTATGTAGGATACAGGATGCTCTCTGCTTTCCTAGTTACCTCCGAAAATTTCCCTCATGTTTTTAGAAAAATGAATCCATGCTATGAAAAAAGATAGAGTAAACAAAGTCTATTTGTTACTGATAACTTATTTGCATATCCTCAGGGATATATGTGTAAGGCACTGAATGAGTAAGAGCTTTATTCTTTGGGAGCTGCAGTATACAGTGGAATTAACAACTGAACGTGTTTGGGCAAGACAACTCATTTCTTACAATTATTAAACAATGCCTCTGCTGAAACAGACATGCTCCATCAAATAACAAAACATTTGCAGTAATAGAGTTTGACTGACACTATCTACGTTTTAAGTTTATTACTTAATGCACAGTTACTCTGTGCATTTTAGAGTTTACAAGACACATTGGACTAGGAATCTATGTATTTAATCAGAAAGGGCCAGGAAAGAGAAGAACACAAGCAACTAACTCATACCAGCTCAGCCTGCTGAAAAGACTCAGTTTTATTAATTTCTCATGATTATGTGGAACTCATACCTGTGCCTGAATCAAGATTTCTTTCTGAAGGACAGTGCTTGGGTTCCTCTGGGTCTCTCTGTGGGGTTTACGATGACTCCGGGCTTCCTTCTATGGAGCCAGGAATCTCGCTGTGCTGAATCCTACCTTTAATCATGTTTTCACTGCCATGACCCCAGCATGAGCCAAAAACCAGCTTCCATTTCAGCAGTCTGAAAAGTCTTCCTCAGCCAAAACGGCCAGCTGCAGGTGTGGGAGATTGGGAGATTCCTGAAATAGCTTCCACTCGTGAGGCAGGAGCAGCCTGAGAAATATCTCAGATCTCAAGGGTCTCTTGGCTCCCAGACTAACCCAGGGATTCCTGATGCCACACATTCATTTCTACTAGCAGTTACCAGGTTTGGTCCTCATTTTGTCTGGATGTATAGGGTGGTGACCCCAAAACAAAAATTTAGGGGAGAAATGGGAAATGGACATGGGAAAGCTTGGAAATGTAGGTTTCTATTCTATGACAACAAAACTGAGTTTAAAATACTGAAACTGCCCATGAACAGACCAAAGAACTTCAACTCTTGATTCTTGTACCAATCTCAGTCCTGTGATCCTGTACCAATCTCTGTTATTCAGTTGAACATATCTTTAAGAAAGCTATCTGAATAGTTTATTCAAACTCAACTAAGAATCTAAACTTCTTGATACCTTCTGTGTTTCTAGGGAAATGAATAAACGTCTTACAGAGGAGCAAGCCAAGAAAACCTACGATCGAGCAATTAAATTAGAACAAGAATTTGGAGAATATTTTACAGGTATGTATTTATTCAAAACAATTGTTTCCCAAGATATAGCCTGTAATTACATAACAAGTGGGTCAGCTGCATCCCTGGCTTACAAGATGCACACCAGTGTAGTGTGCCTGCAGTAAGGACTCATGGTTTGAGCCTGTTGTTTCCCAGGAAACTCAAGGGGAGGGTAGGCGTTCAACACCTCAGATATTTGATATCCTGAAGGACTAGCTGGGTATGAATTTAATTCCCTCCCTGATCCAAATCTGCTTTGGATGGAGTCAGTTAAAAATATTGCACCACTGCGTTTATTTGTACAGACCAAAGCAGAATTCCTCACTAGCTTAAGGCAAGAGTTCAGGCTATGGCTCATGGGAGGGAAAGAGAAAGGCATATTCTTCCAGACCTGGAAGAGGGCAGGATGTAAGGCCCGCTCAGGTCCCCAGTATTTCCTCTAGGCTGGTTTAGGAAGGTCTCTGCTCAGGGATTGGTATTTAGAGATCCCACTCAGAAGCCCCTATTTGTCCCTCCACAGGCTGATGCCCCATGCGTCTCTCATTGCAGTTCCAGATTGATCCTGTGGGGATAGAGAATTTAAGACTTTAGGCACTGTGCTTTGCGTTGCATTTCCTATATCTTTGGACACACACTGGACCTGATCTAGTTAATTTTACTGGCCAAGAGTGAGTTTATCATAACCAGGACAGGGAAAAAATGATGCATCTGACCCACCCTCTAGTGAAGTAGCTTCGACATCAAACGGAATATAAAGCTTGACTTCCCAGAGTGGGAACCAGCCACACTGCGCTCCCAGGGGACGGAGCTGCTAGCTAAATCAAGTAACCCAGCTTAGTGGTCTCCCTATAAGCAGTGGGATGGATCTCTGTCATGGGAGGGTGCCACTATTTTGAACTCAGTTGCTATCTGCAGGGTATATGACTTCTCCATAATCAACATCACAGTGTGCTACTATTTCTTCTCATTTCATCCATGTCTACGATTACACTGACAATCTGCTGACACTTGATGTTGTAGAATGTATCAATTAAAAGAAGTATTGATATGTTTCCTTACTGCAGCTATTGTCCAAGGAGATAGCTTAGAAGATATATATAATCAATGCAAACTTGTAATTGAAGAACAATCTGGGCCTTTCATCTGGATTCCTTCAAAGGAAAAATTATAAATTAGCCGCTGCACCTCTGATTACGACGGGAGAATATTTAGAAGAAAACTATAATATACTATTTGGAGGCTTTCCTGTTTTTGTTGCATTTATGTTCTTTGCAGTCAATGTGAATTTTGATGAATGTACAACACAAAAGTGTTTGAAGCCATGAAGGACACTGATGGGTCAAAAGGGTAGGAACAAAAAGACTTCTACCACATAAAGCAAATCTGTTGTGTGCTCAAAGCACTAGTTATAGGTACAAACTTTTGACATGGAGACCCTCTGTCAAGGGGAGCTAGCCACCTACTGTGCCCATGTGGACATTTTGATCGATTTCAATGGCTGAGCTCAGTGTGTTGATTGCTTTACAGAGAAGTTCCCAGCTCTTGAACCTCATATAGGGCTTGATCCTGCAAGGCGCTGAACACCTGACCCCAATTTCTACACATGTGTGTAGCCCGTTGACTTGGAGTCACTTGTGATCCCTCCCTATGCCGTTCAGTCCCATCCGTTCCTTCAGGAATATTTGCGTGCTCAAAGCTAAGCACGGGCTTAAGCATTCTGCTAGATCAGGGCCACATGCACCTTGCAAAATCAAACTCAGAGATCCAGGTCCACTTCCTGCTAAAGTCATTGGTAGGACGGTCTTTGACTTGACTGGGAGGTGGATCCTATTCTAAGCTTGTCATTGCACATTTGTAGTTGGTACACCTCGACTTTGGTAACTATGCACATCTTTTGGTTTCTGAAACCAAGTCAAGCGTTTCTTTTTTTCCCCTTTGGAAACACTATTGCATCAGGAACTAGTAACAGTGTAGTTTATTTTAATGGAGTTTGGGGGTGGGAGAGGATGGAAGCGTTTCACATCACATGTGCACGCAAACACATTCCCATGCAGACACTCACATGTATGAGGATTCACAGCACCTACGTTGACAAGGAGGAATACAACTGGGAAAAGCTTTAAAATTTTTGATTGTCTATTTTATCATTTATATTGACAGAAGGCACTTAAAGATGGAATAATTTATAAAAATAAAAATATATTGATGTATAGAAACTAATTTCTATAGGTAAAAATGTTTTTGTGAGATATTTTGTAAAGATTAATTAATTGAGAGATTAAATATTTACACCCTTGTGTGACTGTAAAATGTATAGAGGACCATCAAGTTGCATTATTCCTTTTCTGTAACAGACTCTCTATTATTAATGACAAGCAAGATAATTTCTTAAATTGTAGCTGTCAGATTGTTTTTCTCTCAATTTAATCCTCTCCCTTGCCTCTATTTAATCATGATGAACTCCTGTGGAAAGGTCTCTTGAACTGACTGCTCTGTTGGACCTTTTTTGAACACAAAAGGGTAATGCATCTTTAAACAGAAATGGATGATTTTTCAGAAGCAAAATATCAGTGCTTGAATGCAGTTAATAGTTTCTCTCTTGGAGGGAGTCACACTTCACCTGAAATGGTCTGTGGTTCTTCTTGTTCCTTTAAGGGAAATACCAAAAGCATTTGATCTTTTCTGTCTTTGTAGGCAGGCGGATCACCAGTTAACTTGTATCTTCATTCATTTCGCAGTCAACAAGGGTCTTAAAAGTGAAAACTGAGGCAATGGACGTTTGCGAGGGATTTGGGGAAAGTCTGTGGAATTTCAGTTTGCAAGGAAGGGGAGAGGGAGGTATATTTCTTGTTTCGCATCTCCCTTCCTCTGTATACTGACACCATACTTCACTCTGGCACGCAAGGGAACAACTGTAAAAGATATTATAATCATAAGCTGAATTGCCTTTGCGTCTGCTGCTGGACCAAGTTTTGTAGAAAACCCACAGTCTCCTGCCTACTGGGCTGCAGGAGTCTAATATTTGTTACCTGGTGGCTACAGCAACCCTAATGTTTAAGGACGTTGTAAGGGCAAATGCTAAATAGACTCCTCGGTTACTCGTCTATTTGAAGTTTACTTTTCTGCACCCTGTCAAGCTGACAGGTATATCCAGCCGACCTCCACAGAGAGCATGACGCGCTGGATGTTTGTAGAATAGCCACCAGCGGTGACAGGGTTAATGATATGGGCATTTCAGTGGCTCCGAGGAGGCCGCTCACTTACTGCCCTGCTATGATAACTTTGAGAAGTTCATGCTTCTTTTATTACTATTTTTCTTGCCTGGCCAGCACAGATTTGTAAACAAGGGTTTCAGCTGACTCTACAAAAGAGCTTTGTAACCAGAAGGGCTAGAAACTTTTTTTTTACAACATACAAATGAATGAAAGCTTAGATTTTGGATAATTCTACAGAAATCCACAGAGTGACCCCAGATCTTTGGAAGCCCTGGATTTTTCCATGCTGGCAAACTACTATTGCCCCAGGTTGGGAAATAGCCCACTTGACCTGAAAAACCAAGTATCCTAACGCAGGAACTTCATTCTAATTTTCAGCTCTGTTTTTAAGCAATCAATCACATCTGCTTCTTTGTTTCTTAGTTCAGCATGCAGCCTTTTTTGGTACTATCCTACTAGTAACTGTTTTGCTTTGTCATGTGCTGTGCTTTACAGTGAACAGTAACACTATGGCTGAGTACAATCAATTTTTCCATCAGTCCTTGGTTACTGTAGTAACATTATTTATTTTTCCCTGTCTGTTGTTTGTGCTTCCAGTTTAGAGTTGCCATTGCACTTCTTCTTCTTCTTCTTCTTTTTTTTTTTAAATAAAACATATATTTAAAAACAGTGCACCAAGAGAAGCAGTAAGAGGTCTTCTTTCCCTTAGGCCTTGTACTCCCATTTGTTTTGTGTGTTGACGTTTTGTATTTCATGTTGCAGCGTTCTCAGAGCTGCCGTTCATTTTTGCATTGCAGCTGTTCAGATCATACTGGGTGGTAGTGGGAGGAGGAAGAGAGACATAAAATTCATGCAAAATTACATCTGATGCAAAAAAAAAAAAATTATCCAGCTCACAAACCACAGCAATTGGCACCTCAGACCGTATTGGTGCTAACATAGCTTAGCGTAATCAGATTCCTTTTCTGTCCATATAAGAGACTTGCGAGTGTCTAAACATGAGACAAATGCAAATGCTGGACCCTTTAGGAAAAGTGCCAGATCACACCCCTGGTGCTATTTCTCATGTTCTGGCACAGAGTGTAGCACTGTAGGGTCTCAGCAGAACCAAAATTACATGGCTTTTTGTCCACCCATGAATGATCACAATGACATCTCGCTAGCTTTGTGCAGATGTGCAATATTACAACCTATTTATTTCTCCTTGCCACAAAGCATCTTCCATGCACTGACTCATTTAGAGCTTTCTTACAGGGCTCAGTGAAACTATGCTCTTTACTGGTCTTACTGTCTGATCATAACCCAGTGAAAGAGCCTTTCTTGCTTAATTCCCCCTTCCTACAGAGGAACCCTGTCCATGCTAGCGCTTTGTAATTTCTTTCGTAGTAAAGGTTGTTTCTAGATAAATATTCTGTGATGTAATTGTGTTTGTAGCTAGCATGGTTTGATGCTCCAGTGTGGATAGGGTCCTAGAAACCACTCTGTGAAAGTCAAGGATAAGAAATCTCTCCATCGCACTGAAATTTCAAATCCTCATCCTGGAGAGCGGTGTTGAACATGAGCTAATAACCACTATGAGCCAGCGACAGTGTCCTAGTTATACAACATCCATCTACCTATTTACATTAGTTTTCTATGGAGAAATTGTTGGTGTTACACTTTCACTGTTATTTGCTCCTCAGCACTTAGTCGACTTGTACTTTTGCTTTGGTTTTTTTTTTTTATTTATTTTTTTCAAATCCTGAAAAGAAGATTCAGTAACTGATAACACCTGTGAATATTTGTAGGGGAAAAAACGTTACAGAGCAAAAGTTTCCATCTTCTTTCTAAGCTGCAGATTTAAAGCCATAATATCTGCCATGTTCACAGAAAGTGGTCTTTTAGTGTTCATAGCTTTTAATCTCAGCGTTTTTTCTCTAGAACATTTCATCTGCTATGTTATGCATGTGGTTCACTGTGCAACTGCATTCATGTGCTCAAGCCCATGCTTTGATTAAATAAATGTATTATGTATTTTACTGTTCCATTAAAAATAAGACATCTTGTCAATTAGCTCAGAAGTAAGAATGAGGTCATAATTATGTATAAAAAAAAAAGTGACTGTATATTTTAGGGCACAACCTAGCATCAAAGCTAAGAGCAAATAACACCTGCAGTCTATCCAACATATAGCTAGTCCGGATCATCAGCTGGTGTAAACCATGGTCACTCCGCTGATTTCAGTGGAGTTCCTCGCATTTACACCATCTGAAATTACATATATATCTTTCCATTTTGCCTACTTTATAGCATTACTGTAAAATGCCAAGGCCACATTATTAAACAAGAGCTCAGCACTTTCCATCATTATTTACTGTTCCTATTACTGCAGCACCCAGAGGGCCTAGTCATAGACGAAGACCCTTTTTGAGGTAGGTGCTGTGAAACTGTTGAACAAAACGACACCCCCATGGGCCAAACACTGTGGCCAGATTTTCGGAAGGCTTCAGCCCCACCACCGTTTCACCAAGAGCAATAGGAACCACTGCCTTGTTGGCCCTTTTGAGAACCTGTCTTTCAGGTGACGCGAGCAAGATGCGACCTCTCATCCCTCATGCAGTGCTAGCAGCTTACCCCGTCTGGCCCTGACCTACAGCCCAGGCAACTTCCAGTGATGCCCTGAGGTAAAATAGCATTTTGGAGAATGGGCTGTAGCCAGAAACCTAGGTCTTAAAAAAAAAAAAAAAAAGTTAAAAAAAAAAAAAAGCAACACTGTTGGCTCTTAGTGAGATAGCAACCTTGTAATTTCTGGATTTGTGCTCCTAAATTTGCGTTGGCCAGTCCGAACTTCTGAGTGCAACAGCCTGTTTTCAGGAGGCCACTTCTGTCTGACAACACTGGCCAGCTTGCATCTCTTTAGCAGGATGTTTCTCAATCCAGCTGTAGTTTGGGGTACTCAGAATCTGAACTGGAGTTTACAAAATACACTATCGAGCTTACACTCCTGTTTATGTGTAAATACTCTGCGCATCCATTCCATTTGTGTAAAGAATAAAGCACACACAATTATAAAAATTAATATGTATATTTCATACTAGCTGTGTCCTTGCTTATTTATTCCGTTCCAAACCCTCAGCTGTGGTTCAGTTGTAAATGCTTGATAGAGTGTTTATAAATATGTCATGAATTTTATTATAAAATATTAATATTAAAGCATTTTTACACTTTATAGCAAATGGCTTCTTCACAAGGCATAATTTGTCTTTTTTTCTTAAAGCAAATTACTAAAAGCGAATGAATATGCTCTTAATATCTCTTGAGAGAGAACCACATCTATCACATAAGACAAACAGAAATCTGGAAGCGGGAAGGACCGAGGATACAGAAACTCTTTTCTTTCTTGTATTTATTTCTCATCTTGAATTAACAGTGACTTGAAATTAAATACTGAGAAGATTCAGTCTGGTCAAGCACTGCTACTTTTTCCTCCCTCACTTCTTCTGCTGTGTATTGGGTATCATCAGCATCCTGGTCAATAGTCAAGAGTGGATTTTTTTTTTAATTAAAGAATTGCTCCCTGTTTCTGGCATCACAATGTAGCCATTGGGCTAAAGTTTGTAATAGCTACATGCTTATAAGCAGGTTAGTGGAGCATAAACTTCATTTGTGCTAGGGGGTCCTAGCAGGCCAAGAACCTTGGCTTTTGTCCATCCCAGGAAAGTCTTTGCAGATGGTTTGCCAGGCTCCAGGGAGGCCATGTGAATTTTCCAATTTTCTACAAAGGCAGAAACACAACAGGGACACTGCTTTTCGTAGACAGACTGCGCTGAAATAGTTCAGACTGCAGAGGACCATAGCGCTTCCATATGGCTCTGGGAGCCATAACTGACACTACAGGGAGACGAAATCTGTGCGTAGAGTTTTACGTGCATAATCACAAGGATGGTTAATCATCTAAACATTCATTGTGATTCTTTATACTTCCTGAATTGATTCAGAAGAAGGAAAGACTCCAAACAACACATTGATATGCAGATGATAACTTAAAAAAAAAGTAAGTTAGCAAGTCATTTCTGAGATAGCAGTGTGTTTACTGAGAGATTTTTCACAGCAGTGAGTTACTGGTCCAACAGTCTTAGCAACGAAGTGGAGTTCCTTTCCAGAGCAGCGCTGTAGGAGGCAGACCACAGACTCTCATAGATGCTCTTCGTTACAGCCCCAGCACCTCTTGAAGTAATTTCCTCTTCTTTCTATCTCTAGGCAAACCTAAACTAACTCCCTGGACTACATTTTGCAAAAACAAGAGAAACTTGGAAAACAGTCCTTGCAAAATGCCTGGGAAACAGGAGTTATTTAAAATTTCAGGAACCTAGACATGCAGTGAATATCAGTTCAGGCATGGGCAGTGCACCTTGCTGGCAAACTGTCTCATCCAGGCATCAAGTATGTAAAAAATGTGGAAAACCCCTCACTCATACCAGTGCAACTACAGTCTATAGTTGCTTAGTTGCTTAGTTGCATAGTTGCTTGTGATGACAGAAGCATGAAGTTTCCCCAGTGGAAATAAAAGCACAGTCTAGTCCATGGTAGCTGATGGTTCATATGCAGAAGTAAATCTAAATAAATGAAGGGACCCAAGATAACCATTCCAGCAAACGTATATGTGTGTGCATGCACGTGTGTGTGTGTGTGTGTGTGTGTGTGTGTAAAAATCTTCATCTTCTTCTCTGCTATGTTAATATCCCACGACATCTGCCTTTTCCAACAGTCACTTCACACAGCCAGCCACATATCTGGACTCAGCTGTCCAGTCACGCCCTGTGGCTTGAAGAACACTGTGTTCCAGTTTGAAAAATTAATTTGGATCAGAGTTACAAATTAGGCGGGCACTACTGCTATACGTGGCCAAGTACCTTATCCCTCTTGGGAAAGTCGTTTCACACTGACTTTCGAAGGAATGTAGGTACCTACCTGGCATTGGCAAGTTATTCATTTCATTATAATCATAGCGTTTGGGAGCTGGCACGTAGCAAGGCAATGACACCTGGATCCCCATGTCACCTGTGAGATGGCAGCAAAATGGAGCTCCGGTTCCTAAATCTCTAGGGCACATTTCAAACCCTCTTCCTCACCACCAATCTGCACAGCAGTCTTTGCTATCAAAAATCTCAGACAATGCAGGAACAGCTACTGTGAAGCTCTGCTGTATCAGGACTTGCCTATGGTCACATCGTAAAGCCCTTACCTGTAAGAAAGGTATAACAAAGGCTGCAGAAGGGGGCACTTTGGGTTGATTGGCAGGGTATGGCACCAGTAAAACAACTGTAGCTGAACTGGTCTGTAGACCAGCTTAGAAAACTGTGGACCAGAACAAAGCTTCCCTGCTAGATGGAGAAGGAAAGGCTGTTCTGGACTGCACCCCCACTGCTGCAATCTCTCTTCCTGATAGAGATGTTTCCTCCTTTACATGCTGGGGAGCTAATGGTGCAGAGTACACCAGGGAGGCCGAGAATGGTGCCCAGAAGATATCTAATTTTAGTCGGCAAAGAAGCTGAAATATTTGCTACAGAAACTCATTAATTACTGTCAACTGCTTATGAGCCCTCGATCAAAGCAGAAGCAGGTGGTAGTAACCAGGGAAGATGAATTCAGTCTTATACATTGTTAGCAAAATGTCAATAGGGCTGTTATAACTTCAGTAGAAAAGTAGTACACAGCTGGCCTGCATACTGTATCAATTGATTAACTGATGCCCCAAGATAAACGACTAGCTTGAAATTGGGGGTTGCTCTGGTATCTGAAGATAATTAACCTAAACTTTCTTAAGGTTTCCCTTCCACTCTCACCCATTCCCTGGGACTGACAAAGAATTTGCGTTGCTGTAAGGTCTAGAAATGCAATAGGGGATCAGTTAGAAATTGAAATGTGCAGATCTCTTCAAGCTGCAAAACACTGGGATGGGCTTTAAAGGTAGCTGGCAGTCTAGACTCAGCAGTGCCTCTAACAACGGCTCCCATGAAATCCCGGTTGCAACAGAACCTTCATCAGTGACACCTCTACTGGCACTGCCCAAGCCCTGCCCAACCTCTGCAGGGTAGGACCACCACCCTGGCAAGCAGATCTGAAAATAAATCATGCCAGGCTTCAAGAAACCATCTTTTTAAGATCCCCATGACTTCTTCTCCCTTTCTCCCAAGAAAGGGACTTGTCACTGTGCCATCTGCAAAAGCAGTTAGTCAAGGGGCTGTCCAATATCTTTAAAGTCAAAGCATAGGGCTAAAATGTCACACTCAGCATCATGTTTAAGCGCTGCGAGTATCAAACCTATGTCAAACACCCATTTATTGCTCTCTTTTTTTAACAGAAAATGTTTTGAAGGCTGTCATGCCAATGACTCATAGAATGAATCTAAAGGATCTGACAGTAGATGTTTGTTTTATAATCTTGCCATCGCGCATGTGCAATAGCGCTTTTGAACAGGCTTTGCTGAATGCAGGAGTCACCCCAGCACATCATTTTCCCCAGTGGTGGTAAATCCATTGGCTGTGTTTTGCCTGCTTGCATGTGATTTCCTGAGATTCATTTACTGAGTAATGGCAATACACCTTCAGTAAAATATTAGACAAATATTTTCTAAGCTTTAAACTTGCCCTAATCTCTACATAATCCTTCTTTAATAGAGCTGGCATTTGCTGTAGATAAATATGTTTATTAGCTTGCAGTATAATCTCCCAGGCAGTGTATCCAGAGCCTCTTTTTTCAATGGAAACCACATCATCACATTTTAGAGCTACTAAAGGAGCAAGAACGCCATACAGTATTCTGAGGCAGCGAGTGCTAAATAGGGAAAAGCCCTGCAGTTCTCTAACTCTGAGACAATTGGCAGAGGGGCATTTCCAATTAAGTGAGCTCAGGTGTTAGCCTGAACTTGGTGGACTGGACTTGGGGAATGGGAGTTGCTGCGGTGTCCAGAACCTCAGAAAAGGGAATACTACCTTATTCAGATGGACTAATGTGTGCCCAGGGTGGACAGGGGGACGGTAATCTTATCAACTATAGCAGACACTGAGGCCTTAGGCCCCAGATGCAGTTGACAGAGATGTGTGGTGAGCAGGAAAGTCTCACCTTATTTAGTGCCTGCTCCAGTCTGTTCACCAGCAGCTACAGTTCATCAGTATCTACAGATGGACGCTAAGGGCCATCTGAGCATCCTTGGTGAACTGGTGACTAACAATTTCAAGGCATTAAAGAATGTGAAGCAAAACACTAGGGGCCAGGCAAGTGGTAATTCATAGGCCTATAGGGAGAAACCCATCCGTAGTGGAGCATTTGCTCTGGGAAATAAACCCTCAGACATCACAAATCTCTGCCCTAAATATAGCAGCTACCTTCCTGGCCCAACCGCATGCAGAAACCAAGGCCTGAGTGCACCACTGTGTGTGTCTCAGAGGGACTCGCACTACCAAAGCATAACTTGCTGCTCACAGATGCTTTGTGAAGCACCCATCCATACCAGTGTCGCAAGCCAGCTGCATCAGCTGCACAGAAGAGCTTCAAGGCTTGCTCTTCCCCACGTGCCCGCACACGCACACATGCATACATACACGCACGTAGTCATTGCAGCACGGCTTTCCATCCGTTCCCACAGTCACATACCTTCAAAAAGAGCCGAAGCCCCATGAGAGCATGAAGGGACTAGAGGTGGCCCAGAGAGACCATGCCTGAGCCCTGGGAGCAGAAGGGCCCTGACGCCGTGGGAGCAACTGTAGCATGGGCCATTTGGGGACTGGTTCTGGCTGCCAGTGTCATACCTGAGCCACTACCTGACAAATACTTTGAGGAGCTTGTATTAACTGCCAGGAGACACCTGACTCTAGTGAGTATGGTAAAAATGTCCCCACCAGTAGCCTTTGGCTAATAATATGCAACTATTATTGTGAGCCCTTCGGTAATATGGAGCTTATACGCAGCCATAAGGGGTCCCTCTGCCTTCAGCCAGATGGCAAAAGCAGCAAGGGACATGAATGCTGACCCAAGCGGCATTAAAGCAGCTGTCGTGGCACATGTTTGGCTGCAAGTGCTGTAGCCAGCAGT